TGCATTACATCTGAATGCATTGCTAGCGTTTGCACTGTGTCTTTTTTCGCCATGAAGTTGCATGCTATAGTGCAACTATGTTCCTTGTTTTTGGGCTCAAATTTTTTAAAATTGTTCTTCTACAGCAGCAAACAAGTCACCTTGAAATATTTGCAAGACCGCGATTTTTAGGGACAACTAGAAGCAGCTGGCACGACTATGACTCTGCACCTTCAAGAGCGGCGGACAAGGATTTTTGCGGGTACTGAGCCCCATCGCAAGGATTGCTGCACTTCGGTCAAATGCTCTTAGAGCGTCTGACGTGACGTAGGTCATGCGTACCTCAACGCATCAACAGAGGTCTGGTGATGGTCACGTGCGCGCACTCGCTCTAAGAAATGGTCTGATCAGCCGCGAGCGACCCCACCTGTGCGCTCGGAGTGCCAGTTCTCGTCTTATACGACTCGGTATGCAGCGAGGCGGTCGTACGCGTGTGTCTCCGGTTAGCGGATGGCTGTGTTTTGCCCGGTGAGCGGGGCTAGTAAGCGATATGGAAGAAGCGGGGTTCGGTCACGTGTTCAGTCAGTCGTAAGTGACTAAGACAAGAGATCTTTGCATAGGTGATGATTCGAATGAGATCCAAGTCTCAGCATGGGGTATTTATACATGTGAGTAACATAGAATAGGTACCATAGGTTCTTCGACGACAACTAACCCCCACTGTAGGGTACTGCGGTATAAGGGAAGGTAGATCGTACAAAAGAGGCGCCACACCCAGGCGCCACACCTTAGCGATACAAAGGTGTGTGCGCCCGTCTGCCGTGGACATAGGATCACGTGAATAAAGGGATGCGTGGCATCACGTGGATAAAGGGGCGTGTGGCGCGCGCGCTCTACCGTGCGAGAGGCTTCGAGTCAAACAGCTGCGTCGTAAGGTCGGTTCAGATGATGTCCGTGTTTGCTGTTAGTGAGGTGAGGTGCGGGCGGAGAGGGGAGAATGTCTAGCATGAGGAAGGACAGGCGCACAGTTTTGGCCGACAGAGAATTAATAATAGGTTGTCAGGAGCACAAAAATGCAATGGATATTTGTAGGTGTAAGTCCTTTCTTGCATCAGGCACCCAACCCTGTAGCTAAAGGTACAGAGGAGGGAGCAACTTCATCAGAGAGGGTCTTTACATAGCACAACCATGGCAAGCCTGATGTACTGCATAGGATCTGACCTTCTGCAATACATACACACTGTGCAGAATGCAGGACCTTAGCACGGACGCTTCTCAGCGAGAGCCTTACTTCATCATCAAGAGACAGCACTGCTGGAATTGATGGAGGTAGTGAAGCATGTATTGCTGGATGTGGATACGCGATGCGGGTGCCCTATATAGGCGCGGCGCGTCACGTGACCCCCCTTTTTTTCTCGAACGCCGTCTCGGGTGTGAAGCTTTTGGAGTGAGAGTCAACAGAGGGGACGAGAAATGGTCAAACAATGAGAGGAGAAGTTCTTGCTGCCGAGGGCTTCATTCAGTGTTGATTGATCCGCCAGCAGTCACCATCAGCCGAAACCGAACCCTTGGGGA